ATCTAAGGATGGACTTTACCAGAGTGTAAATAGATTAAGACCAATTTCGTTGCTATCAAACATTGGAAAGTGGTATGAAAAGATCATACATAATAGACTTTTAGAATGGTGTAAAGCAAACGGAGTTCTGGTCATTTCGATTAAAAACTTGGTGTTGTTGAATTCGCTTATTAGGCATTGATTTTTTCAGGTTACTTCGTAACGTTTTTAATCCTTGGTCTCGATACTTCAGAGGTAGGAAAAGTTGAACATTAGGAGGAAGTTGACGACTATCACTTTTTAATTTTTTCAGCAACTCGTCCCGAAAACCCATAACATACGAACATCGAAAACTTGTCATTTCATGATCTTGCCCACAATGTGTACAAAATACGATACATTCTTGATGATTGACGCCATTGTTTCGATAATCTCCACATCGTCGACATATATCGATCTGTCAATTGCAATTCTTTTTCATTGCCCTGGGCAGCGACTACAGATAAGTAGTTTAGGAGATGGCAAAAACTCATTGACATCGAATATTCGCCCCACCAGCAGGAATTTTCCTTTATTCAATATTGCTTCATACTCATCAGATGATCGCATATCGAAGCGAATATGTCTTGCTTTTTCGTTCATTGTTCCAACCATGTTTTCGATCGTGTATAAGCTTGAATATTGTTCATTTAATCCTTCCTTAACTTCTTCTAAAGATATATTATTATCGACGAATTTCATAACTATATTGAGTTGTGGAGGCAGTTTCTTTGGCAGGACCAATTTCAAATTCACATTTGTAATTGAATTTGGAATATGTAATGGATCCGAAAAAAAGACGAATATTTCAATTGAATTTGTGAAACATACAAGATCTTCATTTCTATCAACGATATAGTTATCGAATCCTAACGGCACCTGAAGTCGTATAGTTAAACGATTCAATTCTTGTTCTATGTTCTTGAGTAATTTCTTTATGATATTAGCCGCCTCTTTCTGATTCGTTAGCTTTGGTATGCATTGAATTCGTATTGGTGGTAGTCGATCATCAATAGCGTACCGTAACGCCTGATGTAAGACAGTTTGGCTCTTGACATTCCGCGATGAATCAGGTGCTGAATGTTTATATGATGAATTGTTCCACTGATGACTCTGTACATTTTGGTTAATCCCTTTATCAGGTGGATCATTAGGTTGAAGACGGCTTCTATTTTCATAATTCCTTTGTCTCTTGCGTTGAGCCATCCGAACATTATCGTCTCTCTTGAAATCAACTTCCAACACTCTATGGCGTTTAGGAGTTCCTTCTTGCTGATTCTGTCGATCAGTTCGTGGTGTACATTGTATATTTCTCGTTAAAGTATCCCGTTCATTCGTATCCATGTCATTATAGTGATTATATTCTCATTGCTGCATGTATGTCATAATTCAATTTTAATTAGTTAACTTAATCTAGTGAACACACTATTTTGTAAAAATAAAAACGATGCACTTAAATTGCAAAAAATAAAAACTACGTGTACAATATACTTATATATGTGTATGTACATATATAAGTAGTAGACGAAATAAGAAACACGTCTGACTGCTATCGTAGTAAAAAAAGGAGTGATCTCGTTTGCGTGTCACCTGCGTATTGTCCTTAACGATAATCACATTACGTTGGAGCACATACGTTAGAAGCATGAATCTATCCGAGCACTGCTTAAGCAGGACCTGATAGGAGTCCTCCAATTCACTGATACCACCGGAAGATTCAATCAGTCATGATGTACTAAACCTTCATGAGCAGGATGCCACATGGATAGAGCGGATCTCATAAGTCAATTCCAAATTCTCTCTCTCTTCACCAACACTAGTATAATCTCTCTTCTCTATATACTCATTTTATTCTAGCGTGTTCATGTAGAATCAGCATACAATGGGATATCCTGAATTGTCGTATAAATGTTTTTCCCTGGTTGTTGGATTTTTTTCTTTACCATTATTTCGTGAATAAAAGATGTTTAAAAAAAATTTGGGCGTTTGAGCATTGATAGTATTAACATTGAATATTTGGACTTGTATCCTATTTTTCTTTTCTTTTTTGGAGATTAAGAATGACTTTTGTCTACTTTGTGTCATCTGATTTCTACCATAAACAAACACAGTAACAGGAATCAGCGATAGAATGATTTTTACAGTTGGTTTTGAAAATGCACAAAAAACGAATTTCTGTAGAAAACTACATCATTAAAAAGCTAAATAAGAACAAATTATTTTTCGTTTTGAAAACATCTAAATAATATTATAAGAATTCTTCTGAGTAATTTCTGCATTAAAAACTTTGTTTAATCCCCATTGAACGTTTGCTATTCATACGGGGATAATATTAAATGGTTACATGTAGCAGGACAGATACCATGTAAGTCTGAAAAATTCTAATTGTCAACTTTGATCAGTCATATGACAAGACGTTCTTATTTCCCTTTTGGTATTGTAGCGTTATCAAAGATATGCGTTTATTTTTTTTCAATATCGTGTTGACATGAGAAGAGGGAATAACGCTATGAAAAATGAAGTGGAAAATGATGAACGCATTACCATTAAATTCGAAAAGGAGGATAACTACTAAACATCTAGTGTTTAACGTGATACTTTTCCAATGCTTAGTTAAACTCAAAAAACAACAAAAAAATGGTTCATTTAACTATAATTTCATTCACGAGTTCTTTTTTTTTTTGATAATATAATATTAACATTTTTGAACGAGAGATACAGAGAAATTCTAACAAAACAAAACGTAACTCGCACTTGACACTATTCTTCGAAGTGATCTACAAATGTCATTTTCTGATAGGTATATCGTGGTTGTTGATTGAAAACACTTTCTCTTGAGAATACTATTGAATTTTAACTATTTTATCTAAAAATAGCCTATTCACAGTCTACATTAATAACATGTAAGCGTCATGTTAGCGACAAAAGTAATCGGCATACGACACCATACTTCTATCTATCGATCTTAATTGTGTTTAAAGACATAACTGTCTAATGATCCTAAACATTATATTTATAGAAGTATGTCAGTGACCAATAGACTATATGTGAATGTATCTTCGAGGGTTTTGTCGATATTATTTTCAGTAAAAAAGATAGAAAAAAATGATGATAATTTTCTCTACTTTCAAAGGATATAATTAGAAAAAACGAGAGGATGTGAGCTCTTAAAACTAAAACGGATATCAATTGTATATACAGAATAAGAGTTTAAACTTCCATGTGGTATTGATTTTTTCCATTGACTAGTATGAATTTTTTTTATTCTAAATATTATATTGTTCGTCGAATATGCATAGAATGCGTGAGAGAATTTTTGTAATAAAAAATTTGCTCTTAATATTATTATAATTTGTTATTTAAAAGTAAACTAGTGTAGATAACATAATTATTATATATAAATAAAAACATATTATCGACTATTGTAACTATTAAATAATAATTAATTATCATATTAAAAGAAATGTTGAGTGGTTTGTCGGAATATAATATTATATTTTTGTTCTTCTATAGTAAACTGTCCGCTTAAGTACACCCTAAAGCAAAATAACTTTTTATGAATTAATACTTGAAGGAAATAAAAAATAAAACATTATATCAAATTGAACTCTATAATTCAATTGTTGAAGTTCAGGTAGTAGAGTAGAATAGATTAAATTTTTGTCATCAAAATTTTTCGGATAGATTCTTGTAAGAAATAATTTGAATTTCATATTCATTGTTGAACTGAACATTTATCCATGCTATTTGAAACATTACTGTTCATCACTAGATAAAAAGAGTAAAATTATTTTAAAATACTGAAATTATCAGTACAATGTTTTCTCTAGAATGAAGTCTTGTACACTTTCTACAAAAATAAGCGTATTCTAGAAATCGAGTTTAATAGACAGAAAAGAATTTCTATTTCTGTTATTATACATAGAAGGTTTTTAGTGGATTTAAAAATAAAATCTTCTAAGTATTTTAGAAAATTCTTCGGTATTTATTAAAAAAATTAAAAATATTTTTTACCTATTAAATCTAAAAGGGTTCTGTCTGATAACATTTTACTCTTTGTATACTAAACCCTTTTTTTACTATTTTTTAAGCACGCTTTCTTCTTTAGACAGAGAATCATGACTCATGTATCCTATCCTGGATGTTGCTATACAGCTCCGTACATTTATATACGACATTCGTCACCATGTACACATTGTAAACATTCTGTCTATGAAATAGCACCATTAGAAGTTCTAAATGAAGTTAGGAATGTTAGAAGAAATAATCAAAATTAATAAAACTGAGATATCTCGACAGCCGAATATCTAATAAAATCGGGAGATATTTCGTGTAAAAGAGAATTGTTTATTCTATAGTGCAAATTTATCGAAAAAAAAACTTCGAAAGTTTCATTTTCCAGAGGATTTCCAAAAAAACGATCTTCAGAATTTTCTTTCTCTCATCGTTAGGAGACATAAGATTCAAGTATTTTTGTATTATTAGTAGAACGATACTTTTTAGACAAAAAAAAAATTTTAAAAATTGATCCTAAAGCTAAGATGCTCGACTTTGCGACATTAGAAAGAGCGCGATATAAGCTACATTTTAACTATAAAGTAAGTAATATTTACTTTGTTTTTGACTGTTTTATAAAAAAAAATTAAAATGTGATCTTTCGCTTTTTGAAGCTGCTTCTCCTAAAATATGCCACTTCACAAACATTAACGTTATAACCGTGGTACGTATATCATAAATACAGCTTTGAGTTTTGTCGAGTGATTAACTCAAAAATTATTTCTTTGAAAATGTTTTATATCAGGTCAAAACGACTTTTTCGTAGACGGCATGTTTTTTATTATAAGCTGGATTTTATAATCTTTTGTTTCACGAAGTTGGGCACATTTTTTATTGAAAATAAATATATATTTATACCTAACTCAACACGGGCCACAGGATGCACATAGTGGCATGTTTCCGGCTTAAAGTTGTATATATAAAATAGGTGCAGCTGTGAAATACTTCGCACTGATTTTTTTAGTTGTTTAACGCGTGTAACTGTGTTACATTTCAAATATGCAAGATTAGTGTGAAACCTTTTATTAACGCCATTCATCTTATACATCGTTAAGATCTATATTTCGTCTCTTGATGGGATACTTAGTTTTCTTCGAAGCAAAAAAAGATATATTTTCTCTTCTCCTTTTTTTTCCTTCGTTCGTGTATATTTTTCGAGTGAAAATGATCAAAATTACTAAAAAATTATAAACAGATAGAGGGAAAAAAAAGAACTTCTTTTTTGCGACGCAAATCTATATAAAATATGTGTTAAATAGACTACTCTCTCAAGCTAAGTGATTTTTATTGTATCTTATTTTAAACAGTTATATTAAGTATCAACAACTTTTTCTTTTTTATGAACAGGTAAACACTCGCAATAAATTTTTCTTTTTATCGGAAATGGTAATATTATGCTACGATCTATTGAAAAATCAAACTTATTGTTATGGAAAGTAAAACTTTAGAATGTCAAATAAGATATGCTTTAGTTTCATATTTTACAGATGATTAGAATATGCTCTCTTCAAATAGTATAGTTAGACGTCATTATATTATCGAAAATGCACTCATTTTTTCTGTATAGTTCCAGTGAATCATAGATGAAACTACCTGTTTGTAGCCTTAGTCTTTTTGTTTTATTACAGAAGCGACTTTTATCAAACAAAAAGATAGTATACAACACTTGTATATGTACAATTGTATTTTTGATCTCATTTTTCATAGGATTTTTTACAGACATCTTTTTTCAAACTTTTAACCCGTTCAAGTCTTAATATGAAAAATTCAATCGTGATAACAAGTACTGACGAGAAAAGATCCTCAGGTCGGATAGATTTTGATCCCATCTTTTGGCCGCACGAAGACCTCGATGAGACTAGAAAAAGCTAAAAATATCACATGCCCACAGTCCTTTTTTTGTCGAGATACCGAATTTTTACTCTCTGCATAACAAAAACTAATGCTTTACCGATTTTTTTTCACCCTCTGTAAGACATTGAGTAATCAAAACGTTTTTATAAATAGATCTGAGTACAGGATAACTGTGTCAAAAGTTTCAGCCTACTCGACCCTAAAGATCTTGAGCTATAGAATTTTGCGTTCGTGTAGGTAGTGAAAGGTATTTTCATTCTTTTATTTTCACATAAACATACATCACACATAAAAGATCTGCCAGTTCGACTAATGAATATGATAGCTAACAAAGAAGTGTTCGAAGCAGATAGCTTGCTGACATCGACTACATGTGTTGAAGGGGGAGGAATGACATGAGCTTTTATCGAGAATAAAACAGATTTGATGAACATTTCGAATTAGTCGGGATGCTGATCGACATAGTCGCTGCTGAACCACGTGTCTCTGATAAGGTCGTGAAACATTCCCAAAGTAAGAGACCGTGTTAAGGCACGTCTCACCATATCTTTTATCCTTCACAACGCGCGAACACGTGTGTTGTAAATATAGCCAAGTTTATGTGAAAATAAAAGAGTGAAACCCCTTTCACTACCTATACGAACGAAAAATTTGATAGCTCAAGATCTTTAGAGTCGATCGGGCTGAAACTTTTGGTACAGCTTTTATTCTTTTTTATTCTTTTATACAAACTAATGATACACATCTTAAATTTCTATAGATTGTTTTCTCTCTCTTCTTAGAACGGATAGACAGGAAACCAATCATGTTTGAATGTCATCAGTAATAAAAATACGTTAATAATGATAAAGTCAACAATGGATAGATATTACATGACAGGAAACAAAGTCAATTTATATTAGATCTCTCTTTGTCTCTCAATTTCCTTTTTGTTGTTATTGTTGTTCGCTAACTATATCGGAAATTGTTATAGTTAAACTATAGAAGACGCTAATTTGATTCTTAAAAAAATTTTCACTGATTTCTCTAAAAGGAAAATAAATATGAATGAAGTGGTAAAAGGACGGGGGATGATAAGATCTAAAATTGACCCTCTCTGAAATTTTCCTTATATTCATGGATTTTGATGCACTTTACGTTCGAGCGTAACACTGACATTGGCGTAGCCCTTAAAAACGGCCTATTATATGAATTTTGCCACTTAGAATTTTACCTCCTCCAACAACCATTACTCATTCAATTTGTTATATTTCATCTCTTTGTCTAAAAGCAAACCACAGCTCTTATATATTATTCGAAAGAGAATTTTACAGGTTAAAAAATGATGGTACTAGTGGTAGTTGTACTAATTAAATACATGAAGGTAAATATGTTTTTATTATGTTAAAGAATAGCGATTGGTTACATCTTCATCATTCGTTTAATCATAAAAGTCTGAAACTTATCCAAAAGTGTAAAACAATCTCAAACATGGTGCGAGTATCAACATGATCGACACATGTTTAACGAAAGTCTTACCATCCTGTCATACAATTCAACAAAGGCGATATCATTGGTTGGTACTGCAAATGCCCAATTGAAAGCCGTATTTTGTGATGCTGCCGTCATCTTGCTTCTGCAATTTGGTTCTTAAGCTATGAGCGTTGATAGACCAAACAGCGTGTAATGCCGTCCGCGATTTTGCCCAATTATTTACAGACAGTATTCAAGTGTCAGACTTTTTTGATTAAATGAATGATGAAGATGTAACCAGTCGCTATTCTTTAACATAATAAAAACATATTTACCTTCATGTATTTAATTAGTACAACTACCACTAGTACCATCATTTTTTAACCTGTAAAATTCTCTATCGAATAATATATAAGAGCTGTGGTTTGCTTTTAGACAAAGAGATGAAATATAACAAATTGAATGAGTAATGGTTGTTAGAGGAGGTAAAATTCTAAGTGGCAAAATTCGGCCGTTTTTAAGGGCTACGCCAATGTCACTATTACGCTCGAACGTAAAGCGCGTCAAACCCATGAATATAAGGAAAATTTCAGAGAGGGTCGATTTTAGATTTTATCGTTCCCCCCACC